TTCCCTAGTACAGAGACTAAGCTCAGGCTGCTCTCTGCAGTAGGGAAATCCATGTTAAGAAGAAAGGATGTACAGAGCAGGTGGAGATGAAGACCTGGGAATTCAAATATGGAGCTGCTGCCCACGAGGAATCCTTTTTGAACAGAGAGATTCAGCCAACAAACAGGTAGAGTTTTAAAAGTGCTCTAACACTCTTGCTCCATGCATCAGCCTGGGCTATCCTCAACATATCATCCTCGTACCATCAAAGCCAAACAACCCGGCTACACCTAGATGAACCTTTCCTTGTAAAGATGGCACAAAGAAAGAACTGTTACTATGGCCACTCTCACCTCAGTAATGTTCAACATTGTTCTTTATGAACCCCTGAAATACCCAAAGTTTTTCATTCCAATACCATAATGGGGTATAGGATGTGGTACCTATCATTTTAGAAACCAAGTGAAGAGTTTTAAAAGTTAGTTTGATTAAACCTCAAAAGTTCATCCCCAAATAAGCACCTCTGATGTCTTAAGTTGAACCGAAACATTTTTTAAATCATGTCCACAGAAACTACTTAATCAATAAAATATGGTATTAAATCAAAATCAGAGCCAACCCACAGGAGGAAAAGTCAAAATACACTGAGGTTCTCTTGACTAACCTTCCAAGTCTCAAAGTCAAAAGTAAGTGTTTATCTTAACTTAGCAGATGGCATTAAGGTTAGACTAAGAAAACATGAAGGTAACACACCTCTTTAGGTGTGTTCAGTATTGTGTAGATGCACACCAAGCTCATTTATATCCTCACAAAGTGAATGAAGTCATCTTATAGTTTTCTTAAATGCAACATATGGATGTTAATCTGCTCTGAATGATATGTAACAAAATACCACAGACTGTGGCTTCAACAGACATACACTTATTTCTCACAGTCAGCAGGCTAAGAAGTCCAAAATCGGGTGCCTACAGATTCCTGGTGAGGGCCTTTTCTTGCTTGCAGATAGTGCTTTCTCACTGTGGAGAGGGCAAGCCCTGATCTGCCCTCCCTTTTTCTTTTTTCTTTTTTTTTGGTACCAGGGATTGAACTCAGGACCATGCGCTTGCACAGCAGGCACCAGAACCACTGAGCTAAATCCCAGGCCTCCCTCCCTTTTTCACATGAACACTAATCCTATCTCATAGAGAGTCCCACTCTCAGGACCTCATCTCAACACAATCACCTCCCAAAAGCACCACCTCCAATTACATATGGGGCTAGGGATTCAACATATTATTTGGTAGGGCACAAACATTCAGACCGTAACACATGGGGGGGGGGGTGGACTCAATTTTACCAATTATATATCCTGGCTATCAAACATTCAGAACAGTTTTATGTACTTCCCTTTAACTATCTCAGTCCAAAATAACAGAAGCAGATTCTACCAAGTCTGCAGAATAACATCCGTGTGGGCCTGGCCATTTGAGGCCAAGGTCAAGGGCTTTGATTATCCTGTTAGGCCTGTTGAAAGGATAAAAGAGAAATTTTTAGTAACAAAGACACATATGGCTCTCATTTCCAGCATAATTCAGTAAACCTCCATAGACTAGACAATAGAGGGAAGCGTTCCTGAAGCCAGTTGCCACTGCTCTGAAAAGAACTTCTTCCATCCATCGCTAGCTCCAACCTCTCTTCCTGCTTCATTATCCAATGCTGAACTGAACATCTCTTACTGGAAGGTTCACATTTCAACTGAAATCATTACTCCTTGTCACCTCTCCCAACTGGAGTTCCTACAACTGCTTGTCTCAGGCCAAGTGCCACGACCAGCTCTATTACTGGCTGATTCCCTGTCAGGAAGGCCCACCCTAGAAGATGAACAGCCAGTACAATCACCTCTCCAGACCTACATCAAAGCACTGCTCTCCAGATTATCTTGTCCCCCAGACTCCTGTCAGCCAGCTCACCTTGTGGCCACAGAGCTCTTCTAAAGCAGTGTGACCTCCACATTCACTTGCTAAATTCACCTTCCACACAGCACTCAAGGTAGATTTCAGATTACTCAGCTCAGCACCCAAGACTCTATACCTTCAGGAACTTCACCACACAACCTTGACTTTAGTCCAAGAAACTACCATCAGTGCCTGACTGGTACCTTTTCAAGACTTCTAGACTCCAAACATATGCATTATTATTGGATTATGTATTATCATAATTTTAAGGAAAAAAAACCATCTTGAAGGTACATGAGGAATGAAGTATACACTCTGTGCTTTCCCACACCTTCTACAATGACAAAGTCAAGAATTTCAGAGCCAGATGAAATTATTCCCTGGTTTTAGAACCTGATGATCTGATCCTATCTTTAATTCCTTCTTTGCCTCTCTAAGATTGAGAGGTCTCACCTCTAAACTGGTGTTTGTTTTCACTGCATGTACAACTATTTGTTTCATTGGCTGGTGGGTCTACTCAGCCATTACTCAATGTATGGATATATCTTTTTATAAAGTACAGAAAGAAATAGGCCTCTCGTCTTTATGGAGGAACTTTTGGACTCATTCTATCCACACCCAGCCTCAGCCAGACTACCTCTCTCAGATCAGACTGCTTCATGGGCTGGAAGTGCACCCAGCACACTGGTCTCCCCATGCAGACTCCTCTCAGTCAAAATGGGAGTATCCAGGATTTACAGAGGTCCTCTACACACACACTTGTTTCTCCAATCAGCATTGTCCTCTGCAATACCAGAGGCTTGCTTTTGATTTTTGCTGTGCTACCACAGCCCAAAACAGAGCCAGGTACCTGCTGAATGACAGAAAGAATGAACGGATGAATGAATGAACAAAAAGGGATGCCCCTATATTAGAGGAAGCAAAGCACAGCACAGGCCCCCTGCTCAAAAAATACTATTCTGCTACAAATGTTTTTTCTTCACTTTTCTCTGGGCATCACTAACCCCAAGTCCTACATTACTATTTGTATTTTCTTCAGCATTGAATAAAACACTGATTTTAGGATTCTGAAAAGAGGCACTTAACATGTCCCCTACCATACTATAATTGTATTTGTTTTTTCTTTCTTTCTAAAATAAAACGTAGATATTTATTTATTTATTTATTTATTTGGTAGGACTGGGGACTTGAGAATCTATTATGGCAAGGGGCAGTCAGGCCTGGAATTGTAAGCCACATCTATCCTCTCAGACCTATGCCGAGCCTGTATGATAGTCTCCCTGGAAATGACGGTCCAGAAAAGGCCAAAGGGGCCAAAAGGATGCAGCCTGTAAGTTCTAGAAAGACCATGCATGCTTGGGTGTGAACTGGCATAGGCATGGGTGTATACTCAACTCAGAGTCACTCACTCTTTCATCAAGTATCCTTGCATCCTTCTTTTTCCTAAACATTTAGACTACTCATAATCATCATTAACATTTTCTGATCACTTATCCAGTGTGAGGAACCATTCTAAGTCTTCTACAAAAACAATCAGTTAATCCTCAAGATGATGCTTTGACTTGAACTGTATAGATACAGAAAATAAAGCTTAGAGCAATTTTTTGCCCAAGGTTCAGTATGTGGCATATCTGGAAACTCAACAGGCTGAAGTTGAGTCTCCAATTTTGCAGTAAAGAAGCTCACAAGGTGCATATGATGTTAATGAAAATACATCTATAGACGTATGTAGTTTTCAGTATACTGTTTGACTATCATCTCCTACTTTGGATTTTTCATTCCTACCCTATGCAAGGCCTGTATATTGCACAACCTCTCTAATTCAAATCCACACATGGCAGTTCTCAGCAGGCGCAATCCAATCTCAGCACAACTACATGGGTAAACAGTGTATATTACTTTTTTCAGAAGGCAAAGCTTTCCTTTCATCCACAAAGACTCTTTTTCTTTCCTATAGACAAACGTATCATGACTCAAATGGTTATCACGGATGTTCATTTGCAGAGTAATTTACTCTTCCTAATTGGACTATCTGAAGACAAATAGGTCCCCTGTCCACCCTCCTCTCCAATTCACGATGCAGTCTTCCGAGTATAAATTGTTTGCAGTGGGGCTGCAAACACAAGCCACGCTGACTGTTCTGTGTGACCACGTAGCAGAAAATACTATTATAAGATAATGTTTTACTTGGTATTACTTCAAACCCTTCAACTACTATTTCATCAGAATCAGATTTTTTTTTCATAACCAGATTTTGAACACAGACTAATAACAAAGCCCATCAGTCTGGCAGAGGAAAGAAAAAGTAATCTTGGATGTTCTCTTCCTCGTCTTTAAAACATTTCTTCCCACTAACAGGTGTTGCCTATCTCTTAAATTTCAAAAGGAGTAACTTTTAAAGAGAATCAGTAAGAAAGAATCAAGAATACCAAGAAGAGCCGCCAAAGAAATTAGCATCCGATCTTTTCTCAAAAAACGGCAGGGTGGAGTGGATGAGGCAGGTCCAGCGTGTGCAAGTCACAGACATCCCCACCAGCACCGTGGGCTCCACACACTGGTCCTACTTTCCATGAGGGTCGCCGACGGTCACCTACACACACAAGACACAGGCACAGCCGACAGCACGGGAAGCATAGGAAGCGGCCGGGTGGGAGAGGGGCCGGGTAGGGAATGGGTTTGCTTCTGGCTCCTGTGATTGCCCCGAAGCCGTTCGCTCTCTGACTTCACAGAACTGCTGATCTCTTAGAGCAGTCAGAGAAGATCAACTGGACCGAGAAAAATGCTTCTGCTTTGCTCAATTCAAAGAATACCAGGCCGCCAAACAGAAGGGAAAAGAAAGGCAAAAGCCACCCAGGAACCAGCACACACCGCCAGGCCCCTCGCCTGCTCATACGGGGTCTCCACTCGCGGCCACCTCCTCCCGCCGCCCGCAGGAGCGCAGCGGGCTCGGGACTCGGTGGCGCCGACTGGGACCTGAACAGGACCGCTCGGCCGCCGGGGACCGGGCGCTGCCTGGGACGGGGCTCCTCCTCCAGCGCCCGCCCGCTCCCTCCTCACAGCCCGCGCGCCCTCACCACAGCTGCGTACCGTCCCAGCGCTCCGGCTACCCGCGCGCCGCTCCCGCTCTCGCCGCCCTCAGCCCCGGGAGCAGGAGGAGCCGCGGAGTGGGCGGGAGGCTCTCAGCGAGGAAGAGGAGGAGGAGGAGGAGGAGGAGGAGGGGAAAGGGCGGCCGAACCTCCCGCCCCCAGCCCCGCGCCGCCGCCAAGTGGCCGTCGTCGCCCCGCGTCCCCTTCGAGCCGAATCCTGGGAGGGGGCGGGGCGGAGCCTGAGGCAGAGGTGGGCGGGGCCATGGAGGGCAGGGCGGCCGAGTCCGGGCCTCGGATAAGGGGCGTCCAGCGGACAGGGATACCCCGGGAGGAGGGCCGGGTCTGGTGCCGCGCCCCCGGGGTCCCGCTAGGGTCCCCTAACGGGGACAACGGGCCCGGAGCATCCCGAGCGGTGCCCGGACCCGCCCACGAGGAGGACGCCGGTTATGGTCTTGGGAATCCGCAGCGGGAAAGTGGATTCCGGGCCCACGCCACACCCGCCACGCTGTCCTGCCAAGGAGAAGAACTCTGCGACAGTTGCCAAGAGCGTTCCTAAGTGGGATGCTTGGGATTCTGAAGTGTCTGCCCTGCTCAGGACACAGATGCATATGCCAGGTACTGGAGCCAGTCTGCAAAGGTCAACAAGGGCCTTACTACCCCACCACCTCCTCCGGCAGGGAGACGGGTCCCAGGGCCGCTAGTCCCAGCGCCGGTAGGCTCTGTGCTGCGCTCCGCCATGCAAAGCCTTGTCTTTTTCCTGTCCAACTTGCTCTGTCGTCCACCTTTGTAGCCTGTTGCCCAGGACACCTTTGTCCATAAGTCTCAGGGACCGAGACCACCAGTCAGTTTGAGGCCTCTCTTCTCCATGGCCACTTGAGTTCCTCACTTTCGCGGTCATCTCAGGTGCCCCGCTTTCTTGGTACTCACTATCTGGGGTTCCTTGGCTTCATGACCTTTCCCCTTGTCACCTGTTCTGGTCTTGCTTCTCTTGAACCCCTCTGCACATACCTACAGATGAATGCCCTAGAACACCATTCTGGCAGGTCTCTGCCAGTTCTGGAAGCTCTCTGAGACATTTGCCCGAAAAAATTCCGGATTTCTTCAAGGCTCTACCATTTAACAGCTGGTCCAGCCCACCTTACCTGCACCTCAGAGCCCGGCACTCTGTCCGGGTGGGACTCTACCCCGCCCTTGGAAGGGTTCATGCCTGTGTCCATGTGGGAGTTGCTGGTGCTCTTCTCAGAACAACTCCCGAAGCCAAATCCTACTTGTCTTCGTTGAAAAATGAAGTTTGCAATACTGCATTTCTACTATAAAAGGATGTATGTATTCTGCCATGTGGGAAATCACTGTAGAATTAACTGGACTTGTGGGGAAAACAGAGTTAGGAATAAATGACTCAAACCTGTATAACACTGCAAGCAGAGCACTAACATAAACGGCAACCATCCCCAAAAACAGACTAGCAGAGTTTATGAGCCATGTTAAATTCCTCATAAATATTACAGTAAATATAAATATAGGGTTTTGTCTTTATAAAAAATGAAGGTTAACTGTTTAAGAGATTGTAAGGACAGTTTTTTGAGACTGCTGAGTTGAGAAGATAAACACAAAATAAATAAAAGGAGAACCCTCTGTCCTGGCCCCTCATCTCATAAACCTTCCCAAGTTAGAGCTCATGACCAAATGGATGCAACACAGAAAGTAGGGAGCTGGGCACCAGGCTCAGCACCACGTGTTCTACACAACTCAACGCATACTGCAGTGTTTTGCAGCTGTTGTGACTTGGCAATGCAAAATATTGTAGTGCTAGGGACACACATATGAGCTGACACAACTACTCCCATTTTATTAGAGTCTTTTTCCTACATATTATCAGTCATGGATGAGATCATTTGTGTTTTGCATGTTCTCACTACAGAAACAAGAGTAGAATACCCTCAATTCTATGCTTACAGAGTGGATTGCACTGTATTCGGCACACCTGTTGAGCACTTAAGTACGGTAGGCACCAGGGACTGTACATACACTGAGGGTGCCTCAGTGAGCAAAAAGAAATACAAACATGTCTCCTTCACGCCTTTGGGTACTTTAACATGGCATTACTGGATCCTGTGTACTATTTAGTGGTATTGTATATTTTGTATGTGGGTAGCTTCAACTGATGCCTTTTTAATCTTTTTAAGAGTTGGGATTGAGCCTATGTCTTTGTAGCTCCTATTATGTCTGGCCCAATAAATATCTATTGGGATGTAAATTAAGATGTTTACATCAGTTTAATACTTTGTGTTACTAAATTCCCAGGAGAGTCACCTAGAAAAAAAATTTTTTTTAATTGTGTTTTTCTCAGAACCCTGTTTGCAGCTATTTGGGCTAAAAACTAAAATCAAAGCAAGTATCCCCAGATTTGGATCTGAAGGACAGATAAATTACACTTAATAGGAAGCAGGACACTTGGGATGAGAAAGAGAAGGCAAGAAAAGGAGAGAGAATCTAGAAGATACAGCTCAAGAAGAAGGTACCCACTAAGTTCTGTAGTAGTGGTGCTGGAGAAATGTAACAGAAGGAACTCTAGAATATTGTGACTGCTGCTTTTATCATGTGCTTCAGCCAGCTTTTCAAAACACACTGTGAGGCATAAGTGAGGAGGAAATTAAACAGCATTTCCAAAGTTTGGTCAAATGACAAGGAGGCCATGAAAGAAAATGATTCTGAGCTACTTGGATAGGTCATAAGGTAGAATTACAGCAGTCCCTAGCTAGAATATATGCCTGTGAACTGATTTGCCTGTGTGTGTTGCTGAACATCTGGACATTGTACCCCAGTCCATCAGCAGATATTGTCACTTATAAGCCTTTTGTATTCTAGTCTTTCTAAGTGTGAATCAGCTTGGCATTTAAATAAAACCTGCATTTATAACAGAAAAGCAGCTGATATGTTTTATGACTGTCAAATACTAAATATTGATTAATTTAAAAGTGTCTAGCCACCCCTGCACACACATGCACACACACGTATGCACACACATACACTTTGAGTAATTTATATTTCCTGAAACTGTGCATGGTCAAAGAATTTCAATGCTAAACACAGACTTGGAAATCAATGCCCTTTGAAGATCGCATTAAAAAATTAGATAATTTAAATCTAGAATCTCTTCAAAGAAACTAGCAGAATTACAGTTCACCAACAGGGTCTGTGAAAAGTCACTGACTTAAAAATGATCATTCTGATTCTCTTGTTCCATAGATGTAATTATACAAATAAGCCATCTGAAATTCTAAGACTATCATTTTCTTCTACAAATAAGAGTTGAGAAAAGCAATTTTGAGCTCAAAGACTTAAAAAGCTCTACCAAATAAAATCAGTACTCTGACCTCTGTGAGACAGATGTAACCTTTTGGGGGTCACAAAAATAGTGTGGATGAAGTTACCAAGGATCTTAAATGTATCATATCTGTATTCCTGCTTCCAAAGGGCAGTTTTTGATTCCAGATTAAAAATTGAAAACTGTAAATACAAGAGAAATTTCCCTATTTTTTTCTGAAACCCCATTACAATGGTATTTGGCTGTCAATTGAATGAGGTTAACAAAAACATTGCTGAATGAGAACAAATATCTCAAAAGTAAATAGGCATGTGGGGTATTCCTGCACCATAGCTCAGGGAGGGAAATAGAAGTATGTCAGATGTGAAGGGACAGGAGCACCTCAGAAGGAAAATGTCATTCTGTAGAAGACTCCTCTTTCCTTCATGGAATGTTAAGGACACTGTCACATTACTACCAAGCCAAAAGAAAATGTGGCCCTCAAAAAACTCACTGTGGCTAAGTCATAAAGTAAAGAAATACACAGAACTTAGGGCATTTGTACTCTTCCTGTAAAAACCGAAGACTGTTCCAGCCACAGTCTCTACCTCCCAGGCTTCCTTTCTTCTATACATGAAGCAGTAGCTTTAATTTGCCCACTGACTGTTCCTTAAAAAAAAGAAAAATAGTCTGTGTTCCTGCCTCTAATTTCAAAACTAGACTCCATGTGGGACTGGGGAGTTAGCTCAGTGGTTCCACTGCCCGCCTCGCAAGCGCAAGGTCCCTAGTTCGATCCCCGGTACCAAAAAAAAAAAAAAAAATAGACTCCATGTGACTGGTAAAACTCATCCTAAGAAGGTGCTCTATTCATTTCCTCCTATTATGTCACCACTACCATACACAGATCCATCTGGCCCTCATCCAGTTGACCTTACCCTTGACTTGAGGTGGAAATTTCCATAGGGTGAGAATTTTTTACTGGAATATTGCTTTGTAAGTTGCGTGTAAATGCCACATCCTTAGCTACTCAGAAAGGTAACTGGCAAATTCAATTAACCAAATCTTTATTCATGCTGACTCTTCATCTGCAAACATTTTCCTGGACTACAAACCTTTGTCAGAAGAGGTACAAAATATAAGGAAATCAGGAAGAGTCACTGCCTTACAGTACTGACAGGCATAGAACCATCGAGAAAAAGCATGCTTTGGCCCTGTATAACAACAATGCTGTTCATTTGGTCAGTGACTGCACTTTCAAAAACTTTATCTTTGCTATTTAGAGTTACATGTTGCTTTCAAAACTTCCAAGAGGGAAGTTTTCATTATTACTCTCACTAGCACCTAAATGAAATTTGGGAAGTACTCATCATGATTCAATAGTGATGATAAAATGAGAAAATTAGTGCTATTTTTTGCATTGTGAAGAGAATGATTAACCTAATTTGGCACATAATAGAGCACTTCATATCCAATCTGAAAATCTTCCCTGCAAAGAATTTTTTTCTTTTACTCTCTTTTTCATTCCTTTTCCTGGAAACAAGAAACATCCAAATGTATTATCTACTCTATAGTTTAGATGTGGTTTAAGTGTGTTTCTCAGAGATTCATGTGTTGGATGTGTAATCCCCAGTGTGGTGATGTGGGAGGAGATGGAACTTTTAAGAGGTGGGACCTAGAATGAAGTAATTATGTCATTGGAGGGGTTACCTTCAGAAAGAGTTATTGTAGTTCTCCTAGGAGCCTGGTTAGTTCTCAAGAGAGGGTCATTATAAAATAACAA